AAATGGGCATTTACCTGCCCTGGATGACCTGGTAAAACTTCCCCCTCTGTACAGGTCAAAGGGGGTTTGAACGTCTTGTGACGGGGCGTTCATCAGTTACGATCCTGGTGAGGGGAAGACCCTTAACCATCACTCAGTTATTTATTTGGGTTTTGGGGTCTGGAAATGGTAGACGAGGAAGTTAACCTCAACCATCACTCATTTTGAGTTGTTTTGTGTCTGGTAAGGTGACAGAGTGAAAAATTAAACCTAACCATCACTCAGTTAGTAGTGTGTTTTGTGTTGAGTAAGGTAGACAGAGTGAAGAATTACCCCTAAACCTCACTCAGTTGTGTGTGTTTGTGGTTGGAATGGGACGAGTGAAGTTTTAACCCTAACCCTATCGTTATTTGTTTGTTTTGTGTTAGTAATGGTGAAAGAGTAAAGAAAAACCTAACATCACTCAGTTAGTAGGTGTTTTGTGCTGGTTTGGTAGACAGAGTGAAGAATTTAGCCTCAACCATCACTCAAGTTTAGTGTGTTAATGTACCTGAGTAATGGGTGAGAGGGCCTTTACGTACGCCTACAGAGGTCTACGTAGGTTTTTACAGTGGTCCTAGTAGGCTGCGTGGTCTAACAGTAGGTCTTCTCACCTTTCATAATGGCCACGTTTGCTAGGCAACATTGATACACGGAAAATTGATGGCAAGTTGGCGACAGAGTTGGCGAGGCGGCATTGATGTTGATGTCGTGCAGAGAAGAAACCAGACTTCTGTGGGCAGCCTTTACTTTCAGTTGCCCTGCAGGGTTTTAGAGCATGGGCTGTTTAGTTGTGACCTGGCTAGCGGCTGGTTAGATGGGGCCTGGACTAGTCTAGCATGATCTTCCCACCCCATGTTAGCTCTACCACTGTGGATGGCTTATACCCCTGGATTCTTATCCAGCCAGAAGGCTCTGTCCACTCCTGGTTTAGTTCTATCCAAACCCATGAGGATCTATTCACCCCAGAAAGGCACTGTCTACCCAGAAAGCTCAATCCACCCTTATAAAGGCTTATCCAACCCATAAAGGCCTATCCCAGGCATGATTGGCTCTATCCACCCACATAAAAGGCTCTATCCACCCTAAAGGTCTATTCACCCATAAGGCTCTGTCCACCCATAAGGCTCTATCCACCCCCATAAAGTCTACCCACCCCAAAAGGCTCTATCCACCCAAAGGGCTCTGTCCACCCATAAAGGCTCTATCCCCCCTTTAAAGGTCTATTCACCCATTAAGGCTCTATCCACCCCATAAAGGTCTATCCCCCCAAAAGGCTCTTTTCCACCCCATAAAGGGCTCTATCCCCCCACATAAAGGCTCTATCCACCCCAAAAGGCTCTATCCACCCCAAAAAGGCTCTATCCACCCATAAAGGCTTCTATCCACCCCCATAAAGGCTCTATCCATCCCATTAAGGCTCTACCCACCCCCATAAAGGCTCTATCCCCCATAAAGGCTCTATCCACCCCATAAAGGCTCTATCCACCCCCATAAAAGTCTATCCCCCCCTGAAGGCTCTATCCATCCATTAGGCTCTATCCACCCTTTAAGGTCTTTTCCACCCCATAAAGGCTCTATCCACCCCATAAAGGCTCATTCACCCCCTTTAAGGCTCTTTTCAACCCCATAAAGGCTCTATCCACCCAATAAGGCTCTATCACCCCATAAAGGCTCTATCCACCCACAAAGGCTCTATCCCCCATAAGACTATCCACCCAAAAGGGGCTCTATCCCCCCCCATAAAGGCTCTATCCACCCCATAAAGGCTCTATCCACCCCCATAAAGGCTCTATTCATCCCATTAAGGCTCTATCCAACCCCATAAAGGCTCTATCCCCCCCATAAAGGCTCATCCACGACCATCAAGGCTCTATCCACCCCAAAGGCTCTATCCACCCCGGGATGAGAGTGGGGGTATTCGTCCCTGTCCCAGGATAGAGGGGTTGAACTCAGTGTAAGCAATGTGTTGCAGCTCGGCTCCCCACTATCCTCCTAGCCTCCTGGAAAGCTTGTTCGTCCGTCCCGTGAGTGTTGAGCTTGGAGAGCTGGAGGAGATGCGATTGTGTTCCCTGACGAAGAGCTGGTGGAGGGAAGCCAGTCCCAGGTGCTCGTTCACCCGACATCACCTGACTTTTAAAAAAAACCCGAGAGGGAGAGTGAAAGTTAGCGAGTGAAAGTTAGCGAGTGAAAGTTAGTGAGTGAAAGTTAGGGAGGTGAAAGTCAGCGAGTGAAAGTTGGGGTGAAATTAGCGAGTGAAAGTTAGCGAGTGAAAGTTGGTGAGTGAAAGTTGCGGGTGAAAAAATTGGTGAGTGAAAGTTAGCGAGTGAAAGTTAGCGAGTGAAAGTTGGTGAGTGAAAGTTAGCGAGTTTAAAGTTGGTGAGTGAAAGTTTTGCGAGTGAAAGTGGTGAGTGAAGTTAGCGAGTGAAAGTTAGTGAGTGAAAGTGAGTGAAAGTTTTGCGAGTGAAAGTTGGCGAGTGGGAAAATTTGTGGTGAAAAATTAGCGAGGTGAAAGTTGGTGAGGGAAAGTTAGTGGTGAAAGTTAGTGAGTGAGTTAGTGAGTGAAAGTTAGTGAGTGAAAGTTAGTGAGTGGAAAGTTAGGGAGTGAAAATTAGTGAGTGAAAGTTAGCGAGTGAAAGTTGGTGAGTGAAAGTTAGTGAGTGAAAGTTAGTGAGTGAGTTAGTGAGTGAAAGTTAGTGAGTGAAAGTTAGTGAGTGAAAGTTAGTGAGTGAAAGTTAGTGAGTGAAAGTTAGCGAGTGAAAGTTGGCGGGGTGAAAATTAGTGAGTGAAAGTTAGCGAGTGAAAGTTGGTGAGTGAAAGTTAGTGAAGTGAAAGTTAGTGAGTGAGTTGTGAGTGAAAGTTAGTGAGTGAAGTTAGTGAGTGGGAAAATTAGTGGGGTGTGAAGTTAGTGAGGGAAGTTAGCGAGTGAAAGTTAGTGAGTGAAAGTTAGTGAGTGAAAGTTAGTGAGTGAAAGTTAGTGAGTGAAAGTTAGTGAGTGAAAGTTAGTGAGTGAAAGTTAGTGAGTGAAGTTAGTGAGGAAAGTTAGGGGAGTGAAAGTTAGTGAGTGAAAGTTAGTGAGTAAAGTTGGAGTGAAAGTTAGTGGAGTGAAAGTTAGTGAGTGAAAGTTAGTGGAAGTGAAAGTTAGGAGTGGAAGTTAGTGAGTGAAAGTTAGTGAGTGAAAATTAGTGAGTGAAAATTAGTGAGTGAAAGTTAGCGTGTGAAAGTCAGGGGTGAAAGTTAGTGTGGAAAGTTAGCGAGTGAAAATTAGCGAGGAAAGTCAGGGAGTTGAAAGTAGGGGGTGAAAATTTGTGAAATGTGAAAGTTAGGAGTGAAGTCAGGGAGTTGAAGTAGTGAGTGAAAATTAGTGAGTGAAAGTTAGGGAGTGAAAGTCAGGGAGTGAAAGTTATTGAGTGAAAGTTAGGGAAGTGAAAGTCAGGGAGTGAAAGTTAGTGAGTGAAAGTTAGTGAGTGAAAGTTAGGGAGTGAAAAGTCAGGGATGAAAGTTAGGAAAGTGAAGTTAGCGAAGGAAGTCAGGGAGGGAAAGTTAGCGAGTGAAAGTTGCGAGTGAAAGTTAGGAGTGAAAGTTAGCGGTGAAAGTTAGCGGAGTGAAAGTTAGGGAGTGAAAGCAGGGAGATGAAAGTCAGGGAGTGAAGTCAGGGAGTGAAAATTAGTGAAATGAAAATTAGTGAGGGGAAAAGTTAGTGAGTGAAAGTTAGCGAGTGAAAGTTAGCGAGTGAAAGTTAGCGAAGGGGAAAAGTTAGGGAGTGAAAGTCAGGAGTGAAAGTCAGGGAGTGGAAAGTTAGGGAGTGAAAGTCAGCGAGTGAAAGTTAGGGAGGTGAAAGTCAGGGAGTGAAAGTCAGGGAAAAAGAGTCAGTGAAAGTAGGAGTGAAAGTCAGGGAGTGAAAGTCAGCGATGTGAAAGTTAGGGAGTGAAAGTTAGGAAGAGAAAGTCAGCGAGTGAAAAGTTAGGGAGTGAAAGTCAGGGAGTGAAAGTCAGGGAGTGGGAAAATCAGGGAGTGAAAGGGAGCGAGTGAAAATTAGGGAGTGAAAGGGTTTGGGAGTGAAAATCAGCGAGTGGAGTTAGGGAGTTTAAAGTTGGGAGGAAAGTCAGGTGAGGAAGTCAGGAAGTGAAAGCAGGGAAAGAGTCAAAGAAAGTCAGGGAGTGAAAGTCAGAGAGTGGAAAAGTCAGCGAGTGAAGTCAGGGAGTGAAAGTCAGGGAAAGAGTCAGTGAAAGTCGGGAGTGAAAGTCAAGAGTGGAATGTCAGGGAGTGAAAGTCAGGGGTGAATGTCAGGGAGAGAGTCATTGAAAGTCAGGGAGGTTAAAGTCAGGGAGAGAGTTCAGTGAAAGTCAAGAATTGAAAGTTAGGGAGAGAGTCAGTGAATGTTGGGAGTGAAAGTAAAGGAGTGAAAGTCAAGGAAAGAGAGGGAGAGAGTCAGCGGGAAAGTCAGGGAGGGGAGTCAGGGAAATGGAGTCATGGAGAGAAGTAGGAAAGTCAGGAAGACGAAGTCAGAGGACAGGAAAGTCAGGAGAGGTCAGGGGGGGAAGTCAGGGGGAGGGAAATGAAAGTCAGGGAGATGAAGTCAGAGAGCAGTGAAAGTCGGGAGGGGAGTTGGGGGGTGGAAGGCGGGAGGAGTCAGGGGGTGGAAATCAGTGAGAGTCAGTGAAAAATCAGGGGACGAAGTCAGTCAGTGAAAGTGGGAGACAAAATCAGTGAAAAAAACGGGAGATGAAGTCGAGAGACAGTGAAAGTAGGGGGAAAGTTTTGGAGAAAATGGTGAAAGTAGGAAAAAAAATTTGGGGGAAAACTACGGAGAGAAAGTGGAAGAAAGTGAGGGAGAAAGTCAGTGAGAGAAATCAGGGAGGAAGACAGGGATAAAGTGTGAAAAACAGTGAAAAGTGAGGGAGAAAGTCAGTGAAAAAAGTGAGGGAGAAATCAGTGAGAAAGTGAGGGAGAAAATCAGTGAGAAAGTGAGGGAGAAAATCAGTGAGAAAGTGAGGGAGAAAATCAGTGAGAAAGTGAGGGAGAAAATCAGTGAAAAAAGTGAGGGAGAAAATCAGTGAGAAAGTGAGGGAGAAAAAATCAGTGAGAAAGTGAGGGAGAAAATCAGTGAAAAAAGTGAGGGAGAAAATCAGTGAGAAAGTGAGGGAGAAATCAGTGAAAAGTGAGGGAGAAAATCAGTGAGAAAGTGGGGGAGAAAATCAGTGAGAAGTGAGGGAGGAAAATCAGTGAGAAAGTGAGGGAGAAAATCAGTGAGAAAGTGGGGGAGAAAATCAGTGAGAAAGTGAGGGAGAAATCAGTGAGAAAGTGTGGGGGAAAGTCAGTAAGTGTGAGAGAAAGTCAGTAAGTGTGAGAGAAAGTCAGTAAGTGTGAGAGAAAGTCAGTAAGTGTGAGAGAAAGTCAGTAAGTGTGAGAGAAAGTCAGAAAGTGTGAGAAAAAGTCAGTAAGTGTGGGGAGAAAGTCGGGTAAGTGTGAGAGAAAGTCAGTAAGTGTGAGAGAAAAGTCAGTAAGTTGGAGAGAAAGTCAGTAAGTGTGAGAGAAAGTCAGCAGTGTGAGAGAAAGTCAGCAAGTGTGAGAGAAAGTCAGTGTGAGAGAAAGTCAGCAAGTGTGAGAGAAAGTCAGCAAGTGTGAGAGAAAGTCAGCAAGTGTGAGAGAAAGCAGCAAGTGTGAGAGAAAGTCAGTAAGTGTGAGAGAAATTTTCAGCAAGTGTGAGGGGAAAGTCAGCAAGTGTGAGAGAAAGTCAGTAAGTGTGAGAGAAAGTCAGTGTGAGAGAAAGTCAGTAAGTGTGAGAGAAAGTCAGCAAGTGTGAGAGAAAGTCAGTGTGAGAGAAAGTCAGTAAGTGTGAGAGAAAGTCAGCAAGTGTGAGAGAAAGTCAGTGTGAGAGAAAGTCAGCAAGTGTGAGAGAAAGTCAGTAAGTGTGAGAGAAAGTCAGTGTGAGAGAAAGTCAGTAAGTGTAAAAGTGAAAGTGATGAAGAGTGAAAGTGAAAGATCAAGTGAGGGGAAAGTGAGAGACAAAGTTATAAATTAGAGTCTTTAATACAATAGAAAGCTCTGTGATTTATAGAGCTTTCAAGCATAGAGAGAAAGGCATTTAGAAAGCATTTCGATGCCTGGGGTTGATGCCCAGCACTCCCTGGGGGCACCAGTGGCACCTTGATGCCCTCAGGGGGCACCTTGGATCAAACACTCTCTTGACCCTGACTAAGGCCTTTCACTTCATCTGGCTGCCTTCATCAGTGACACAAGTGCCCGGGATCAATGCCCGGGCCTCCCAGGGGGCAAGACCAGCACCCCGGGCACACCTCCCCATCACCTTGGATCAAACACACTCACTTGTATCTGGCAGAGGAGCGGCAGTCAATCTGGTTGTCATCCTGGGCCAGGAGCTGCGTGCCTGCGGGCCCTCGCTGCACCTTGAGGGCCCCGTCAACGAAAGCTCGAAGCTCATCGGACTCCTCCTTGCTAGAGCCATAGAGCACAGAGCCGTCCAGGAAGGATGTCACCTGGTTGATCTGTTCCCTTGGACCTAGAGCAGTGGTAACAAGTCTTAGTCTTGGGATGGCCATGGGGAACCCTCCAGTAATGTTAATAATAATAATAATAATAATAATAATAATAATAATAATAATATTAATAATAATAATAATAATAATAATAATAATAATAATAGTGTTGCTACTGGGCACTGACCTAGAGTACAGCCGGTCCTGGGGGCAGTGCCCGTACGTACGTACTCTTGGCACTTGAGTCCTAGGCTGCCATACACAGGATCATCGTCGGGTATACGGATGGGGTAGCACTCTGGGTGGAAGTCACTGAAGTTGACGCCACAACACCTTAGTCGCTGCCCAATGTAACCGGGGAAAAGGGGGGGAGGGGTGGGGTGGGGATGGGGGTGGGGGGGTGGGGGGTTTTAAAAAAAGGAGTTTTTAAAAAATTTAGAAAGTTGTAAAAGGTTTTAAGATGAGAAAAGGTTTAAAAAGTTTGAGGGGGTTGAGGATGGGGAAGTGGGGAATTGACCCCAGGGGGTTGTAAAAGAAAAAGTTTTTTGGGTTTTGGAAAAGTGGGGTTTGGGGAGGGGGAGAGAGGAATTTAGGAAAAACCAAATAGATTGGGAGGAGGGGTAATTTGTTGAGGGGGGGATGGGGGGGGGGTTGAGGGGTAAAAAAAGTGAAGATGATTTTGAGAGATAGAGAAGAGGGGTGGGGAAGGAGTAGGGATTTTTTTGGTGGAGGGAAAAGTTATTTTGGGAGGATGGGGAAAAATTGTAATTTTAATTAATAAATTTAATAATAATAAATTATAATAAAATTAAAATAAAATAAAAATAATAAAATGTTTTGAATGGGATAAAGGTCAGGGTTGGGGAGTGGAGTGAGGGATTTGGGATAAAGGATTGGGTGGGAAGGAGTGAGACGTAGGGGTGGAAGTACTGAAGTTGAGAAAATTAGTGTTTTCCAGATCGAAGGTGAAAGTGAGAGTGAGGGAGTGAGGAGGTGAGGGAGTAGGGAGTGAGGGAGTGAGAGAGTGAGGGGTTGAGAGTAGAGAGTGGAGAGTGAGGGAGTGGGAGTGAGGGGTTGGAGATTTGAGAGAGTGAGGAGTGAGGGAGTGGGGAGTGAGGGAGTGAGAGGAGTGAGAGAGTGTGGGGGAAGAGTGGGGATGGGTAGGGGTGAGGGAGTGAGGGAGTGAGAGGAGTGAGAGAGTAAAGGGACTGTAGGAGTGAGAGAAGGGGAAGAGTAGGGGAGGTGGAGGTGAGGGAGTGAGAGAGGGGAGGGAGTGAGGGAGTGAGGGGAGTGAGGGTGAGAGAGTGAGAGAGTGAGGAGTGAGGAGTGGGAGTAGAGAGTGAGAGAGTGAGGGGTTAAAAGTGAGGAGTGAGAGATAGAGGTAGTGAGTGAGGGAGTGAGGGATGTGGGGGAGTGAGGGGGGGAGGTTACAGGGGGAGTGAGGGAGTGAGGGAGTGAGAGAGTAGTGAGTAGAAGTGAGGAGTGGGTAGGGGGTGGGGAAGTGGAGGGAGTTGAGGAGTGGACAGTGAGGGGTGAGAGAGTGAGGGGTGGGAGTGAGGGAGTGAGGGAGTGAGGGAGTGAGGGATGGGGAGAGAGTGAGGAGTGGGGAGAGTGAGGGAGTGAGGGAGTGAGAGAGTGAGAGAGTGAGGGGTGAGGGAGTGAGGGATGGGAAGAGAGTGAGAGGTGAGGGAGTGAGAGAGTGAGGGAGTGAGGAGTGAGGGATAGTGAGGAGTGGAGGATGGTGGGGAGTGAGGGAGTGAGGGGAGAGTGAGGGAGTGAGGGATTGAGGAGTGGGGGAGTGTGAGAGTGAGGGAGTGAGGGGTGGGGGAAAGTGAGGAGGTGAGGGAGTGAGGGAGTGAGGGAGTGAGGGAGTGAGGAGTGAGAGAGTGAGGGAGTGAGGGAGTGAGGGAGTGAGGGAAGTGAGGGAGTGAGGGTTGAGGGAGTGAGGAGTGAGGGAGTGAGGGAGGGAGTGAGGGTGTGAGGAGTGAGGGAGTGAGGGAGTGAGGGAGTGAGGGATGAGGAGTGAGAGAGTGAGGGAGTGAGAGAGTGAGGGAGGTGGGGTTTGTGGGGAGTGAGGGAGTGAGGAGTGAGGGAGTGAGAGTGAGGGAGTGGAGGTGAGGGAGGAGGAGGGGGGGGTGAGGGGTGAGGGAGTGAGAGAGTGAGGAGTGAGGGAAGTGAGGGGATTGAGGGAGTGAGGGAGTGGAGAGTGAGGAGTGAGGGGTTGAGGGAGTAAAGAGAGTGAGGAGTGAGGGAGTGAGGGAGTGAGAGAGTGAGGGAAAAGTGAGGGAGTGAGAGAGTGAGGAGTGAGGGAGTGAGGGAGTGATGGAGTGGGAGTGAGAGTGTGGGGGAGTGAGGGAGTGAGGAGTGAGGGAGTGGGGGAGTGAGGGAGTGAGGGAGTGAGAGAGTGAGGGAGTGAGGAGTGAGGGAGTGAGGGAGTGAGGAGTGAGGATTGAGGGAGTGAGGGAGTGAGGAGTGTGGAGTGAGATGAGGGAGTGAGGGAGTGAGGGGAGTGAGGGAGTGAGGAGTGAGGGAGTGAGGAAGTGGGGAAGTGAAGGGATGTGAGGGTGTGAGGGAGTGTGAGGGAGTGAGGGAGGTGAGAGTGAGGAGTGAGGGGTGAGGGAGTGAGAGAGTGAGGGAGTGAGGAGTGGAGGAGTGAGAGAGTGAGGGAGTGAGAGAGTGAGGGAGTGGGGAGTGAGGGAGTGAGAAAAAGTGAGGGAGTGAGAGAGTGAGGGAGTGAGGAGGGGAGGGAGTGAGGGAGTGAGGAGGGGGAGTGAGGGAGTGAGGAGTGAGAGAGTGAGGGAGTGAGGGAGTGAGGGAGTGGAGAGGTGAGGGAGTGAGGGAGTGAGAGTTTTTGGGAGTGAGGGAGTGAGAGAGTGAGGGAGTGAGGGAGGTGGGGGAGGGAGTGAGGAGTGAGGGAGTGAGGAGAGTGGAGAGTGAGAGGTGAGGGAGTGAGGGAGTGAGAGAGTGAGGGAGTGAGGGAGTGAGGGAGTGAGAGGGGTGAGGAGTGAGGGGAGGAGGGAGTGAGAGAGTGAGGGATGTGAGGGAGTGAGGGGAGTTGAGGGAGGTGAGGGAGTGGGGGAAAGTGAGGGATTGAGAGAGTGAGGAGTTGGGGGGGGAGGGGTGAGGGAAGTGAGGGGAGTGGGGAGTGAGGGAGTGAGGAGTGGGGAGTGAGGGAGTGAGGGAGTGGAGGGGGAGTGAGAGAGTGAGGGAGTGAGAGAGTGAGGGAGTGAGGGAGGAGGAGAGTGAGGAGTAGGGAGTGAGGGAGTGAGAGATTTGGGGGGAGTGAGGGAGTGAGGGAGTGAGGGAGTGAGGGAGTGGGGGAGTGAGGAGTGAGGGAGTGAGGAGTGAGGGAGTGAGGGATGGGGAGAGAGTAGGGAGTGGGGGAAAGTGAGGGAGTGAGGGAGTGAGAGTGTGAGGGAGTGAGGGAGTGAGGAGTGAGGAGTGAGGGAGTGAGGAGTGAGGGAGTGAGAGAGTGGAGAGTTGAGAGGAGGGGAGTGAGGGAGTGTGAGAGTGGAGAGTGAGGGAGTGAGGGAGTGAGGGTGAGGAGTGGAGGGAGGAGGGAGAGAGTGAGGGAGTGAGGGAGTAGAGGGGAGGAGGGGAGAGAGTGAGGGATTTGAGAGAGTGAGGGAGTGAGGGTGAGGGAGTGAGAGAGTGAGAGAGTGAGGGAGGGGAGAGAGTGAGGGAGTGAGAGAGTGAGGAGAGTGAGGGAGTGGGGGGAAAGTGAGGAGTGAGAGAGTGAGGGAGTGAGAGAGTGAGAGAGTGAGGGTGAGGAGTGGGAGTGAGGAGTGAGAGAGTGAGGGATTTGAGGAGTGAGAGAGGGGAGGTGAGTGAGTGAGAGAGTGAGGGAGTGAGGGAGTGAGAGAGTGAGGAGGGAGGAGTGAGAGAGTGGGGGAGAGTGAGAGGTGGGGATGAGAGAGTGGAGGGAAAGTGGGGGAGGAAGTGAGGGAGTGAAAGAGTGAGGGTGAGAGAGTGAGGGAGTGAGAGAGTGAGGGAGTGAGGGGAACTAGAGGGAGTGGGGAGTGAGGGAAAGTGAGAGGAGTGAGAGATTTGGAGGGAGTGAGGGAGTGAGGGAGTGAGAGGTGAGGGGAAGGGTGAGGGAGTGAGGGGAGTGAGGGAGTGAGGAGTGAGAGAGTGGGGGAGTGAGGGAGTGAGGGAGTGAGGGAGTGAGAGAGTGAGGGAGTGAGGGAGTGAGGGAGTGAGGAGAGTGAGGGAGGTGAGGAGTGGGGGAGTGAGAGGTGAGGGAGTGAGGGAGTGAGAGAGTGAGGGAGTGAGGGGTGAGGGTAGTGGGAGTGAGGAGGGGTGGAGTGAGAGAGTGAGGAGTGTGGGAGTGAGGAGTGAGAGAGTGAGGAGTGAGGATAGGGAGTGGGGAGTGAGGGAGTGAGGGGTAGGTGAGAGGGAGTGAGAGAGTGAGGGAGTGAGGGAGGAGGGAGTGGGGGAGTGGGAGGAGGGAGGGGAGAGAGTGAGGGAGTGGGGGAGTGAGAGAGTGGGAGTGAGGGAGTGAGGGAGTGAGAGAGTAGGGGAGTGAGGGGAGTGAGAGAGTGAGGGAGTGAGGGGTGAGGAGTGAGGGAGTGGGAGTGAGAGAGTGAGGGAGTGAGGGGAGTGAGGGAGTGAGGGAGTGAGGGAGTGAGGGAGTGAGAGAGTGAGAGAGTGAGGGAGTGAGGGAGTGAGAGAGTGAGGGAGTGAGGGAGTGAGGGAGTGAGAGAGTGAGGGAGTGATGGTGGGAGTGAGAGAGTGAGGGAGTGAAGGAAGTGAGAGGTGATGAGAGTGAGAGATGAGAGATGTGAGAGAGTGAGAGAGTGAGAGAGTGAGGAGTGGGGAGATGGTAGTGAGGGAGGGGGATGAGAGAGTGGGGGAGTAGGGAGTAGGGAGTGAAGAGTGAGGAGTGAGAGGTGGGAGTGAGAGAGTGGGGAGTGAGAGAGTGTGAGAGTGAGGGATGGGTGGGAGTGAGAAAAGTGAGGAGTGAGGGAGTGAGGGAGTGAGGAGAGTGAGAGAGTGAGAGAGTGGGAGTGAGAGAGTGAGGAGATGAGAGAGTGAGGAGAGTGAGGGTGAGGGAGTGAGGAGTGAGGAGTGAGAGAGTGGGGAGATGGAGAGTGAGAGAGTGAGAGATGAGGGGAGAGTGAGGGAGTGAGGGAGTGAGGAGTGAAGAGTGAGGAGAGGATGGGAGTGAGAGAGTGAGAGAGTGAGGGAGTGAGGGAGTGAGGGAGTGAGAGAGTGGAGGTGAGGGTGAGAGATAGGAGGTGAGAGAGTGGAGAGTGAGAGAGTGAAAGTGGAGAGTGACGAGTGAGGAGTGAGAGTGAGAGAGGTGAGGAGTGAGGGAGTGAGGGAGTGAGAGAGTGGGGAGTGAGGAGTGAGAGAGTAG